TTAGAGAGGAGAGAGAATAATTAATTTTTTAGACTTTATAATATATTTTGTATTATAAAAATATATTACTATAACTACACATTAGTTTCAGAGGAATTCGGTAGTGGTTGTCCTGGTGGAATTGATAATTTGCCGAATCGTTCTTTTGGATTGCAATTCAGAAGTATTTGTTCAATGCTCTCGAGGGAATACAGTACTTTTAAGAATCTTACCTTTCAAAAAAAAATAATAATAATAATTCTAACAAAAAATAATAAAAGAGGGAAAGTGTCCAAAATATATAATATAGCTAAGTATATTTGATTGAAGTGTTAAGAATACATGTCACTTTTGTGAAATTCTAAGAGTTGTAACTTTTAATTATTCAACTTCAAACTTAAACATTTAAAAAGTATTAACATATTTGCTCAGGAATACTTAGCATCTAACAAATATATTAACAAAAATTAAAATAAAAAAATGATAGAATTTCATAGAAAGTTTTTGTTAAATTAATATAAGAAATCAGTCGTATGATTGCAACATTCAAAATTGAAAAAGCAAAAATAATGGTTTTACATGAAATTTTCTATTAACAAAGTTAATTCTGTTTAATTTCCTCAGACACCACCCAATTGCCTTTTTTGATGTTTTTAAAATTCCTTTACCGTACAATTTCTACTTCTCTTACCTTTCAAAAAAATAAATAGACCTTTCACCCAATCTGATTCCACGATGAACCTTAGTATTTGTAATTGTCATAGGCTTTTGTTTGTGGTGTTCACATATGGCGAGTTAGAAAAATAAAGAATAAATAAATAAACCCCACCTATTAGTATGTCAAATAAATAAATAAGAAATTTAACAAAACAAACCTTTTAAAGACTTGCTTTAAATAAAAAGTTAAGAGAAATTAATACAATGAGTGATATAGTTGCAACATTCAGAATGAAAGAGGCAAAAATAAGGGTTAATAGCTCTTGCCACCAATCTTAATTTAATTTGAGCAAAGAATTGGGCATCGCTCAATTGCCCTTTACCAAATAATTTTCACTTATCCTACCTTTCAAAAAATACAAAAAATTCCTTCAAAAAAAAATTCCACTTCTCAAGCCTTCTTTCCTTATACATGACATAATCATACAAAAAGAAATTTTTTTTTAAAAAAAAAATCAAAATATGTTGAATATATATATATATATATATATATATATATAACAAAACAAACCGAAGCCTTGCTTCAATATTTTTCCTCTACTCTACTTTCCCCTCTCATCCTCCAAACAATCATTTGCAGTACTTTTTGATATCTTTGGAACTACTTTACCAAGCAATTTTCACTTATCTTACCTTTCAAAAAATAAAAATATACCTTAAAATAAAATTTCCACTTCTCAAGCCTTCTTTCCTTATGCATGACATGATCATACAAAAACGAAATAAAAAAAATCAGAATATGTTCGAATTTACCTTTCAAAAAATAAAAATATATACCTTCAAAAAAAAAATTTCTACTTCTTAGGCTTTCTTTCCTTTTGGATGACATGATCATACAAAAAAGAAATTAAATTTTTTGAAAAAAAAATCAAAATATGTTCAAAAAAAAAAAAAAAAAAAATTAACAAAACAAACCTTTTGAAGCCTTTCTTCAATATTTTCCCTCTCCCTCTACTTTACTTTCCCATCTCATCCTCGAACAATCATCTGCAGTGTAAGCTTAATTCAATATTCTGACCAAAACAAGAACACATAACAAAATGATAATCTCTATGACTATTTAACAAAATTAAATAGTGATTTTTAATCCATAAAAAAATAATAATAATAATAATAATAAAAGTTTAATAAAGCAAGCATTCTCACGCCATGCCTTAATATTTTTCCTCTACTCTACTTTCCCTTCTCATCCTCCGAACAATCATGTAGTGTAATTAAGTTTAATTCAATATTTTGACCAAAACATGAATGCATAACAAGATGATCAATCTCTATGGGAATTCATCAAAATGAAATAGTGATTTTTAATCCATGAAAAAAATAAAAAACACATCTACACCAAACTCACAAATAAATAAATAAATTTATAACAAATACTAATGAAAGAGAGGGAATGTCTAAAATATATAATGTAGCAGAGTATATTTTGCTATGAGAGAGAGAGAGAGAGGGGGAGAGATATATATATATAACTATTGGGCAATTAAAACACTTTTAAAGGTTGACTATTCAACTCCCAACTAATTAAAATAAAAAATAAAAAACTCCCAATTTTTTTAGAACAATTATAATGTGCACTTTCTTGAGCAATAAAAAAGTTGTAATTGTTGACTATTCAACTCCCATTTTTTTTAATACAATTATAATGTACATTTTTTTTTTTTTTCCATCAGAATAGTACGTAGATGATATAAATTGAAATTAACTTTTTTACTCTGGCACATTAATGTAAATGAGGTATGAATAACTAGGTCTAGTTAATTAGACATTTTATGGAGAAAAAAATAATTAAAAATATTAAGAAATTCCTTACACTTTTAGAATAGTATATATAGATATAGATGTATATATTTATACTGTTAGAGCATCTCCAATCATTGTGTATATTTTTTTTGTGTAAATCTGATGTGTCATAATAAATTTACACAAAAAATTTGGATTATTTATTTTTAGCTCCAGCGGTTGTTTTATATTTTTTGTGTAAAAATATATCTCCCAATAACAACCTACCATTATCATGCCTGAACCCCACATAATTTTTACAAACCTATTTAATATAGGGTTGATTTGTTAATGGAATGAGAAGAGGGAGGAAAAAAGAAATATGTTGATGTGATTGTATAAAAGGGTTACGTAAAATATACAGCAATTCAACACATTGATGATGTGACAGTATATCTTAACAGACTACTAGAGATAAAAAATAAAAAATTACACATTATACATTACAGTGAATATTTTATACAAAATAGTATTTTAACAAACTAGAAAGACTCTTAGATTTTAATATTATTATTGGTTGGAGGCTTTTAATTTGATCGAGTATAGTAGATTTGCGTATGTGCTTGCGCCAGGATTAGTCACAGTCAGCATAGTCAATTTTGTAAAGCATTTTTTTTCTTGCCATGCACACACAAATTTGTTCCTCAGTTAGAAATTGGGTATGTTATTTGTACTACCTTTGACCTTTCATTTAGATCTTAATATCATTACTGTTTGGAGGCTTTTAATTTGATCGATATGTTTATGTGCTTGCCAGGATTCGGCCCGAGCATTATAGGTAATTCGATTATGTAACGAATCATTAGTTAGTCAATCTATATTCGATTATTTCGTTTATTTAATGTCCGATCCGATTATTTTGTTATACCCTCCTTCGCAAATCTAAGAAATTAAAGAACAACAAAAACAATTAGCATTGCAAAATAACTTGAGGGAAAAAAGGTGAGAGAAAACCTGAAGATGATTAAAATGGAGTTAAATAAGTTTTTTGTACCCTTTGTTCAGGAACTAAAAAAATCTAGGTCTTGTAGGAACAATTCCTTAATGGTAATTTCAGAGCTTGTAAAAAGGAAGAAGAAGAGGGGAAAAGAGAGAAAATACTGCACACATCAAATAAATTAAAGATCAAGAAAAACAATTAGAATCGTGAAAAAAAAAACACTTGTGGGAAAAAGAGAAAAAGAAAATCTGAAGATGATTTTCGTAAAAATAAAAAAAGAGTTCAAACCAAGAAAAGAATATAAAAAAATAATAATAATAAAAAAATAAAAAAGAGTTGAATAGGTTTTTGTACCCTTTCTTCAGTAAGAGCATGGCAATTTTAGGGCTTGTAATAAGAAAGAAGATGGAAAAATAAATAAATAAATAAATAAATAAAAATTAGGACTTGTAAGAACAACACAAATTAGGATTCATATCGAAATTCCATCCATCAACAGGTGCAGTTGCAATGCCCAAAATCAAACAACCAATAAGATATTAGTGTATTTTGGTGGCTAGGCTTGTGTTTTGCCTTTGCCACTCCTAGCTTTTGCTACGTGCAGTGTTTGGATGGGTTCTTATTCCTCATTTCATATCTCTCATAAAAAAAAAATAAGAAGATAAGAAAAGAAATGATATTATTTGAATAGTATTTTCATAACCTTGAAACTGTTCTCAACAACGAAAAAAAAAAAATTATTATTCATTCATATCCCTTCTAGTTAAAAAAATATGATAATAATTTAATTTTTATCATTTCTCTTCAAACAAAAATAATATCATTTCTTTTATTTTCTCTTCCATTAGTCCAAATATAAATTAAAATTATTATTATTCTTTCATTTCATCTCTTTTTCTTTTTATTTTTTTCATGACTAATATTATTATTTCTTTTATCTCGGATATATCTTAGTGTTATCAATTGACAATGATTATCAAATTCAATTTCACGGACACTCAGCCAGAAGATGAAGTGCACATGGCAAGTCCACTTCCATCACTCATTACTCTTCTTATCTTCTTGCCGTTCCCTTTGGTTCTGTTGCAAAATTCAAAGTCTTCCCTGATGTTGACTAAATGCAGCTCTCCTACTTACTCTCCAAAGAAAAAACCGTGAATCTCTTATTTCGAGGATAAGGAAAAAAAAAATGCTCAGATGACTTGACTTTGGCTCAGTCCAAGTCTAGTTCCTGCGGTGAGACCGTGAAGCTGTACATTCTTACGTGTATATATATATATATCAGGTCACTGATGGTTAAGCGTAACATCCCAATTTTTAACTCCAAAAATAGTCACTTTGTATAATTAATGACAATTTTTTCATGTATTGTTCCTCCATTATTGAATTAAGAAAATACTTAAACAAAAAAATACAGCTCATAAAACATATAAATATATCTGCATAAAATATATTTAAAAGTAAGGCAATTAAATCAATTCATATACAATACTATACAAATCTCCCACGCTTTACGCTTATCATCACTTCTATAAGTTAGAGGCATCACAGAGCATGTGGTAATCAAGTAGACTCTACGGTAATGGCGATGGAGTACTCTTCATTGACAATCATCTCCTCACAAAGGAGGTATCAACTTACATGCTTTAATGCTTTCTGGCTTCTGTTTCTCTTCACTGTCCTCTCCACAATCTCTGTCTCTTCTTCTACAACTCCACCCTCTTACTCTGATCACTGTGATTCAATTGTTCCCAAGTCCACCCCAACCGATCCCGACTACACCACCTTGCCACATCTCCTCCGTATACCCAACGGTCGCTACACTGGTGGTGACAAAATTCTTGTTAACACCTCGTCTGATCAATTCTACTTTGATTACGCCAAGTGTCTCACCTTTCGTACCACCCGAAAAGTTTATAAAACCAAAGCAAGTGGTGTTTATAAGATTGAGGCCTACTTGACCTTCTCCCAATCTTACTATCATGATTATCGTTCTGGGAGAGGTCCACTGAAATTCCTATTGAATGGATTCGGGTCTGAATCTTCTGGGAAGCTTTGCATGCTGGGGTCGGCATCTTGGCACACAAGAGAAGGTAACTCTCTCAAACTTGACGCTGTTCTTCAGCTTAATTTTGCCAAGAATGCAACTATCTTTACTAGTTTGGTTAATGGAACATTGGAGAGTTTGAGTGTAACGACTCAAAACTAATACTTTTTAAATAAAAAAAATTCGGCATGACCTCCCCTAAAAATAGGCCTATCACAATCTGTTTAATTGCATTTTTAACCTGTCATGGCCCAAATTCCGAATTCACGGCAATAGTAGATGATGATACACAATCAAATGACCTCAATAATACTTCAAACTAGTATTACTCTCCCTATTCATCAATAAGGTTTACATGTTATCAAATTCACATCCAAAATATCATCAAATACCTTAATTACATTACATGACAAAGTTTTTGCAAAATATACATATACACCTTCACACTTTTAGTGCTTTGCAAAAATAATGGGAGATATACAAAAAATACAAAAGTGAGCTTCTAGTATCGCTCAAGCTTGAGGTGGGTTGTCATCCACCGGTTCTTTTCCAAGACCTGAAAAAAATGTATAAATAGTAGGGTGAGCTATATGCTCAGTAGGTGACACTTAAGACACAAATCTTGTGTCCTTGTGAATTCAAGCAAAGCATAGGCCAATGGGAGATAGGGATCATACAACGTAGGGGATCAAATACAACATACAATTCAATTCCAATTATAAACAATGCAATGCAATGCAATGAAATGCAATGCATGTCAATGACACTCCCCATTTTCATTCTCAAAACCATCACTTTCAAACGTTAATACAGCCCGCCCTTTGGTAACCCCGCCGCGACACGAGAGGAGGATTGGCTAGTGTCCCTGACCCTTGGTAACCCCGCGGCGTCATTATGGAGCCCAGCTAGCTCAACCACACTAGGGCGACTCCCTAGTCCCCTCTAGGATATATTAACCTCCGGCCCATTGGTAATCCCGCAGCGACCGGGTTTCGCATAAAATCATTTCATCAAAAACACTTTCCCGAAATTTCCCCTTTTTGAAGTAAATCAATTCTTTCCCTTTTCCTGCCTAATGTTAATGCATGAATACCTCAATGATATACACAAGTTCATTATTCCATACTTTATCCAATTTAAGCAACATGGCATAATTCGCAAGAATAATCAAGAAAGTCATAACATGCTTATACATAACAAGTTCTAGCACAATGAACATATATAATCAAGTCCTAAACATGCTTCACATAGAATAATCAACAAATATAGTCACACAACTAACATATATGCATATATATCAACAATTCTCTAGATTTTAAACAACTAATCAAATTAAACAACAATTAGAGGTAATTAACTCACTAAGGTACAAGATTTCATGAATTAAGGGCCCCTACCTCAAGATTGCACCAAAACTCTAGAAAATGGGTCTCAAGATTCGAAATCCAAAGGGGCACAAAATCTAAAATTGCTTGTATGGATGTGTAGAGCATTCTCCCCAACTTTAAAAAGATTTCGTCCTCGAAATCAAGACATACCTGAGGAAGAAAACAACGCTGGGTACTTAGACCGAACCTCCTGTTCGAGCTCCCAAGTAGCCTCCTCGACTCCGTGGTGTCTCCAAAGGACTTTCACCATTGGTATCGTCTTGTTCCTCAACACCCTCTGCTGAGTGTCAAGGATCTGAACTGGTCTTTCCTCGTAGGAAACATCCTCATCAATATCCACATCAACCCAACTCAAAATGTGAGATGGATCCGGCTCGTACTTTCGTAACATCGATACATGAAAGACATTGTGAACTCTGTCCATCTGTGGTGGTAAAGCAAGTCTGTAGGCAACCTCTCCTACCCGATCCAAAATCTCGAATGGTTCAATAAATCGTGGCGATAACTTGTCACTCTTCCCAAATCTCATCAACCCCTTCCGTGGAGAAACCCGTAGAAAAACGTGGTCTCCCACCTCAAAGGATAACGGTCGTCTCCACTTATCCGCATAGCTCTTCTGTCGGCTCTGAGCTGTAAGTAACCTCTGTCTTATCAACTTAATCTTCTCAGTAGTCTCGAGTACAATGTCGGGTCCTAAGGCGGCTGTCTCGCCTACCTCAGTCCAACAAACAGGAGACCTACAAGGTCTACCATATAACGCCTCAAATGGAGCCATCTGGATGCTCGCCTGATAACTGTTGTTGTAGGCAAACTCAATAAGTGGAAGGTGATCCTCCCAACTACCACCCAAGTCAAGCACACATGCCCGAAGCATATCCTCCAAAATCTGGATAGTACGCTGCGACTGACTGTCTGTCTGTGGATGGAATGCCGTACTATGATGCAACGCTGAACTAAACGCTGCTTGAAGTCCTTCCCAGAACTTTGAAGTGAACTTAGCATCCCTATTTGATACAATGGTTACAGGAACTCCATGTAACCTTACAATCTCCTTCACATAAAGAACACCAAGCTTCTCTGCATCATCTGTTGCCTTAATAGGCAAAAAGTGAGCCGTCTTGGTCAATCTGTCAATGATGACCCATACGGCCTCATTGCCCCTTCTTGACCTTGGAAAACCTGTCACAAAATCCATAGCAATATGCCCCCATTTCCATTGCGCTACAGGTAATGGTTGCAACAAACCAGCTGGCCTCTGATGCTCGGCCTTCACCTGCTGACAGGTAAGGCATCTAGCCACAAACTGTGCAACATCATTCTTCATCCCGTTCCACCAATACTGACGTCTCAAATTGTGATACATTTTAGTACCACCTGGATGAACTGCAAAGCGGGAAGTGTGAAACTCCCGTAGGACGTCCTCACGAAAACATGTGGGAACCACCAACAAACGCCTGAACCGTAGACCTCCATCTGCATGCAAGGCCCAATCTTTCACTGTCTCACCACTAGAGATCAAAGCGTGGATGGCATCTAAGTCCGGGTCTTGTCTCTGTGACTCAATCACTCGTACAACAAGAGTAGGCTGAGCCACAAGACTAAATAAGAATGCCGACTCACTGTAACCATCATCATCAAAACACTGTAATCCCATCTCTGCCAGATCTTCAAGCATCTTCCACTTCCGAATAGCTAAACTGGCCAAAGTTCCACGAGATTTCTGGCTTAAGGCATCCGCTACCACATTCGCCTTGCCCGGATGATACTGCAAGTCAAAATTGTAGTCCTCCAAGAATTCGACCCATCGCCTCTGTCTGTTGTTCAAGTCCTTTTGGGAAAAAAGGTACTTGAGACTTTTGTGATCTAAAAATACCTCGAATCTCTCACCATACAAGTAATGTCTCCAACACTTCAAGGCAAATACAACTGCCGCTAACTCCAGGTCATGAGTAGGGTAGTTGTACTCGTGAGTCTTCAACTATCGAGACCTATAAGCCACTACTCTACCATCCTGCATCAACACACATCCCAACCCGTCACGTGAAGCATCACAATAGATCACATAACCCAAGCCACGCTCAGGTATCACCAACACTGGAGCTGTAGTCAATCTCGTCTTCAACTCCTGAAAAGATGAATCACAGGCCTCATTCCAGATAAACTTAACCCCTTTCCGAGTCAAACGGGTCATAGGAGCTGCCAAACGGGAGAAATCCTTCACAAATCTCCGATAGTAACCCGCTAAACCAAGGAAACTGCGGATCTCAAACACATTCTTGGGTCGCTCCCAAGTCAAAACTGCTTCAACCTTTGATGGATCAACTGATACTCCACCTTCTGAAACAACATGCCCCAAAAACTTCACCTCCTGTAGCCAAAACTCACATTTCTCGTATTTGGTATACAATCGGAGCTCCCGCAAAATCTGTAAAACAATACTCAAATGGGCCTCGTGATCTTCCCGAGTCCGTGAGTATACAAGAATGTCATCCACGAAAACTACCACAAACTGGTCCAAGTAATCGTGAAAGACGCGGTTCATCAAGTCCATGAATGCCGCTGGCGCATTAGTCAAGCCAAAAGGCATAACAAGGAACTCATAGTGTCCATACCGTGTACGGAATGTTGTCTTCGGGATATCCTCATCCCTAACCCGCAACTGATAATAGCCAGACCTCAAGTCAATCTTCGAGAAACAACTGGCTCCCCTCAACTGATCAAATAAATCATCTATCCTTGGCAAAGGATACTTGTTCTTGATGGTGGCATGATTCAACTTCCGATAATCAATGCACAACTTCAAAGATCCATCTTTCTTCTTAGCAAACAAGACCGGTGCGCCCCACGGTGACACACTCGGTCGAATGAAACCTTTCATCCTCAAATCATCAAGCTGGCTCTTCAATTCTTCCAATTCAACTGGGGCTATTCGATATGGTGCCATAGAAATCGGCGCGGTACCATGCATCAAATCAATAGTGAACTCCACTTCTCGGTGTAGAGGCAACTCTGTCAAATCTTCTGGAAAAACATCCAAGAAGTCACAAACAATCGCCGGATAAACTTCTCCCATGACATCATCTTCTTCGGCTAGAAGACTAGCTAAGAAATAATCACCATGACTTCGTCCACGAAATCCATAAAACGATGAAATGTGGGAATCACTCCGATCTCCCACGAAAAAGAAATAGTCTCCCTCGGGAGTGCAAACTGTAACCCTTCCTCTGTAACAGTCGATCGTGGCATGAAATGAAGCCAACCAATCCATCCTGAGAATGACATCAAAGCTAGTCATCTCCAGGAGGATAAGGTCAAACACGAAAGTCCGCCCGACTATCACAATGGGACACTCCCGCACAATTCGGCTCAAAGACACTGAAACCCCAACTGGCGTATCAACACTCAACGCCCGTTCCAAGAAACTAACTTCTAACCCCGATGCAAGTGCAAATGATGATGAAATGAAAGAATGAGATGCACCAGAGTCAAACAAAATACGGGCCCAACAACCAAACACTGGAAATATACCTCGAAGAACTGACGGTCCAGAAGATGCATCGGTCTGTGCCAGTGCAAAAACACGTCCCTGTGGTACCTGTGCCTGAGGACTGCCAACCTGAACACCTGACTGCTGCACTGACATAGTAGGAGTATCCCTCCTAACTGATCGTGAACCCTGTGAAGACATAGTAGGCTGTGGTGGTGGTGGTCTGAAACCTGATTGAACTGTAGCCGAGTGTGTCGGCCTCTGTTGTGACCCTCTACCACTAATGGTGCCTGCTCTCTGACTCGGACAATCACGAATCAAGTGACCCTGCTGGCCACACCCATAACAAGCCTTCGGAGCTGACGAAACTGAAGACGATCTCATCGGACAACTGGACTTATAATGTCCGAGCTGCTGACACTGATAACAAACAACTGCACTCCTGTCAGATCCAGCTGGCATAGGAGTGGTAGGAGCAGATCCTGTAGACTGTTGCCCCTGAAACTGAGATGGACTGCCCTTGTTCCTTTTCCAAGAAGATCCTTCTGAGGATGGCCCTGCAACCCTCTTTTGCTTCAATTGCTCTCTTCTTGCATCCTTCTCTCTATTGTCAGCCTCCAGCATCAAAGCCCTTTCCACTGCTTCAGAATAAACCTTAATGAACTGTGCCATGATCAACGGCCTCATCCGATCATTAAGACCAGAAACAAACTTCCGAGTCTTATTAGCTTCATCTCTCACCACTTCTGGAGCAAAACGGGAGAGTGAGGTGAACTTGTTCTCATACTCCGCCACTGACATGTTCCCTTGAATAAGATTATGAAACTGGTCTTGTAACTCCCATCTTTTGGAAAGTGGAAAGTACTTTTCATAGAACAGTTCCTTAAACCTGTCCCAACTCATATCTTCAATCTTGTACTGGGTGGTGATCGACTTCCACCAAACCTTGGCATCCTTAGCAAACTTATAAGTAGCTAGGATGATCTTCAAATGATCCTCTGTCACATCCATAGAAGTTAGTTGGGTTTCAACTTGACCCAAGCAGTCATCTGCTACCATTGGATCCGCACTGCCCTCAAACACTACCGGCATCAACTGAGAAAACCCTTTTATGATCTTGAGACGCTTCTGAGTTGGAGTCTCCTCAACTTAAACTGTAGGTTGTGGTGCCGACTGCGACTGAGTAGCAATCGTTGCCCTCACGACATTTTGCAACAAACGATTAAACTCCAGTGCCACAGAACCTTCACCCACTTCTACGGGTGCTTCAACATTATCCCTCCTTGTGGGGACAACTCTCGGGGGAATCAAGTCCCTAAGAAATGTGTCCTCATCATTTAGCTCCTCCGAATTAGAGCTGGAGCTCTCACCAACATCACTCCTAGTCGGTCTAGGGCCAACTTCCTTGATTTCCTCACGCCGTGACATCGTTCTATAAAACAAAGGAAACAATTCAATAACGATAACACTAAGGTCTAACCGTGAACAACCCAATGCAAAAAGATACTGTACAAACATTTAGCATGTAATACTATGCAATGAACACATTAATATAGGCATATAAGCACATAAGCACGTAAGCAAGTAAGTAGTTAAGCATGCTTTTTCACATTGCAAAACACTTTTCCAAACAAGGAAATAACAATGCAAATGACTTCCCAGACAACCCTAGGTAAGCCTCTACCCGTCGTCCTAATGGTATTCGAACCATCGCTCTGATACCAAATTTGTAATGACTCAAAACTAATACTTTTTAAACAAAAAAAATTCGGCATGACCTCCCTTAAAAATAGGCCTATCACAACCTGTTTAATTGCATTTTTAACCTGTCATGGCTCAAATTCCGAATTCACGGCAATAGTAGATGATGATACACAATCAAATGACCTCAATAATACTTCAAACTAGTATTATTCTCCCCATTCATCAATAAGGTTTACATGTTATCAAATTCACATCCAAAATATCATCAAATACCTTAATTACATTACATGACAAAGTTTTTGCAAAATATACATATACACCTTCACACTTTTAGTGCTTTGCAAAAATAATGGGAGATATACAAAAGACACAAAAGTGAGCTTCTAGTATCGCTCAAGCTTGAGGTGGGTTGTCATCCACCGGTTCTTTTCCAAGACCTGAAAAAAATGTATAAATAGTAGGGTGAGCTATATGCTCAGTAGGTGACACTTAAGACACAAATCTTGTGTCCTTATGAATTCAAGCAAAGCATAGGCCAATGGGAGATAGGGATCATACAACGTAGGGGATCAAATACAACATACAATTCAATTCCAATTATAAACAATGCAATGCAATGCAATGAAATGCAATGCATGTCAATGACACTCCCCATTTTCATTCTCAAAACCATCACTTTCAAACGTTAATACAGCCCGCCCTTTGGTAACCCCGCCGCGACACGAGAGGAGGATTGGCTAGTGTCCCTGACCCTTGGTAACCCCGCGGCGTCATTATGGAGCCCAGCTAGCTCAACCACACTAGGGCGACTCCCTAGTCCCCTCTAGGCTATATTAACCTCCGGTCCGTTGGTAACCCCGCAACGACCGGGTTTCGCATAAAATCATTTCATCAAAAACACTTTCCCGAAATTTCCCCCTTTTGAAGTAAATCAATTCTTTCCCTTTTCCTGCCCAATGTTAATGCATGAAAACCTCAATGATATACACAACTTCATCATTCCATACTTTATCCAATTTAAGCAACATGGCATAATTCGCAAGAATAATCAAGAAAGTCATAACATGCTTATACATAACAAGTTCTAGCACAATGAACATATATAATCAAGTCCTAAACATGCTTTACATAGAACAATCAACAAATATAGTCACACAACTAACATATATGCATACATATCAACAATTCTCTAGATTTTAAACAACTAATCAAATTAAACAACAATTAGAGGCAATTAACTCACTAAGGTACAAGATTTCATGAATTAAGGGCCCCTACCTCAAGATTGCACCAAAATTCTAGAAAATGGGTCTCAAGATTCGAAATCCAAAGGGGCACAAAATCTAAAATTGCTTGTATAGATGTGTAGAGCTTGACACGAGCTTCGTTTTGCCTCAAACGGCACCTCAATCCGACAAAAGGTGGAGGAGTAATCTAAGAATGAAGTTTGAGTTCAAAAAGAAAAAGAAAAATCAAGAAATAGAGACAGAAGGAAGGGCCAGCGGGAGAGAAGAAAAATGGAGACCAATTGTGGTCTCAAACCCTTTTTGGGTGTGGTGGTGGGTCCCACCAAAATTTTAATTTGTTTTCTCTTTTTGTTTTACTCAATATACATCCCACAATACACATATACTTGCACAGACATCACATTGAGTTCTTCTCATGATTCGAATTATTTTGATCCAGTTTCAATATTGGCTTTCCCTTGCATGAGTTACTACAATTATACATTGGTTTCGAAGGAATTAGATAGTGGGTTCCCTGATGGAATTGATATTCCACATAATCATTCTCTTGGATTGCAACCGGAAAGTATTTGTTCAACGCACTCCAGGCAATTGCCGCAATTCCCTCCATTTAAGTTGGAGTATGCCAGCGAGTGCAATTCTTCACATAATTGTACTCCTTTTGGCAAGGATATTGGGTATTTGCCTACTTTCATGTCCTTTTCTGAGATTCAGTGTTCTGAGCATTTACAAAAGTTAAGGTATCTGATAGATTTTTCAAATAGAAGCTATGGGCTTTATAACCAACCTTTCAATTCCAACACGACGTTGGTTGCAGAAGGATCATGGGATGGAAAGAAGAACCGGCTATGCATCGTTGCTTGCCGGATCTTGAATTCCTCTGATTCTTTGGGAAATGCTCGTGTTGGGGATTGTTCAACTAGGTTGAGCTTGAGATACCCCGCAGTCTGGTCAATCAAACAAAGGGGTATTGTTGGGCAAATTTGGAGTAACAGAACTGTGAATGATTCTGTCTACTTCCATAGGATCAGTTTTGGAGGCTTTTCCCATTACATGTTGGGTGTTCCTGGTTTGGGGTATGATTACACTGAAATGGATAGAGTAAAAAAGTTATGCCCAGTAAAGAAGCCTTTTGAAAACAAAGGGCTGAGATACCCAATTGCAGATTCTTATCAGATGAGATTCCGCATGTCGGTAAAAGATTCAAAAGGAAGAAGTTCTTGGGGTTCTGCAGACCCCATCTCTGTGGGTGATCAGTTTTATGAGCATGGGAATGTTATTTTCGGTTCAAGCTCTATGGCTGACGAAAGCTCTGCATTTGAGGTAAAAGATTCAAAAGAGATTCATGTGCCCCAAAGTAAGGTTCACAAGCATAATAAGTGAAGTAAAAGGAAGCACTAACAGGCCTGTGGCCTAGCGGTATAAGACTCCTACTTCTCGAAGGGAGGTCAGGAATTCGAACATCAGTAGATGCAGTGTGTGTAAGTCCCAACTAGGACAAAAAAGTAAAAAGAAGCACATTAGGGTGCTTTTTGACATAGAAGAGTTGCAACCCCACAAAGACACATGCGAGTGTGTTAGAGATTAAAGACATTACGATCTCCAAATCCATCCTCCAGATGGAACGTCTAGCTTCAACAGCATAGAAAGCTATTGAGAAGAAGTTCATATGCTTAAAGAAAAGAGCATCTGAATGTTTCCTTGAGCTTTCAATGCTTCCCTTAATAAAACCTCCCTTCTTTGCATTAAATGGAGGGAACTGGAATTTCACAAGAATTTCAGAGTCCATAGAATCCTTTGTTGATTCCTGAATGTATGAACCCAGCTTTTCACAGCCAACCATACAAAGGTGTCCTGTTTGCTCATCATAGATCCCCTCAGCAGAAATTTCCTTTAGACCATCAGTACTCAGATTTTTTGCCTCAAATGTAGAGTTTGCTTCGACAATCTCAACATACCCATGCTCATAAAAATGATCACCCACAGAGATGGGGGCTGCAAAACCCCAAACAGTTCTTCCTTTAGAATCTTCTACCGACAAGTCAAACCTCATATCATAAGAATTTCCACTTGCGTATCTCATCCCTTTGTTTTTAGGAGGCTTCTTTACCGGGCATATCTTTTTCCCTCTATCTATTTCATTGTACTCACATACTTCAAACCAGTAACACCCAACATGTCATAGTTAGAACCTCCAAACCTGATCCAATGGAAGTACCTAGAATCATTTACAGTTCTGTTACTCCAAATATGCCAGTAAGACTCGATCTTTGTTTGATTGACCATACTGCAGGGAATCTCACGCTCAACCTAGTTGAACAATCCCCAACTTGAACATTTCCCAAAGAATTAGGTATGATATTTATTGTAATCAAGGGAGAAATGAGACGAGCTGTTGCAAAGAATATTGTCACCACCAGTGTAGCGACCGATCGGTATTCGGAGATGTGGGAAGGTCGTGTAGTGGGGAACAGTACTTAGGGTCGGCTCGGGAACAATTGCAGCGCAGTGATCGGTGTAAGAGGGTGGAGATGGAGAAGAAGAGACCAAGGTTGTGGAGAGGACAGTGAAGAGAAAGAGTAGAAAGAAATAATTAAAGCATGTGAATTGATACCTCCTTTGTGAAGAGGTGATTCTTGAAGAAGACTCCATTGCCATTATCATAGTTTTCTCGAAAGGTATGAAGAGAAGAAGACTATATTACCACATGCTGGGTGATGCTTAGTGATGATAGTGCGTATCTAATATTTGTAGAGTTGACAATACTCGGGTCCTGCCCTATCAGGACCAACTTCATCCCACATGTGAGCTGGCCCAAAGAAAATTGGTGTGAACAATCGTGATTCCACTTCTAAACCGTAAATCCCAATTCAACCACTGTCATCGTCCGTCTCTCCACCACCCGAAGCACCATCTCTTCCTCCATCACTCACCACCGCCGTGAACTCAAACAACGAGCAAGTAATCATCCGAGCCAACAATGCCAAATCCACAAATAGGTTTTCGATTTTTACCGAAAACATCTGAAATCGTCTCTCTCTCTAATCTCCAGCAAAACCTCTATCCCTCTTCTTCTACTCAACCTCCATTTTGAAACCCTAGCCAATCTCCATCGTTCTATTAGTATCTATGAATGTACAACGGACAGAAGCCATAAATTTCGACCGAACACAACAGGAAACAGAAACATCCCTATATAGATGAAGTGAGAGAGAGATGACCTCGCTTTCCTCTGCTACCGATTGCATGATCTCAGAGAAGTCTTTTGCAGTGGCCACCGGCGAGGTCTTCCCCAGCATCGCGTGGCGAATCATCAAACCCGTAATGGGAGGGAATCGTATTTCTGTAAGAGGAGAAAAGAGAGGATTGGCGTCCGTTTGGGAATGGAGGATGAAGATTAGGGTTTGTACGAAACTTGGCTAGTAGAGACAGGATTTGTTATGGAGAGAGAAGAAAACAGGCTTTCAACAGTTAGGTAACCCATTTTTCATATATATATATTTAAATATTGTTTCACAATTTTATTGGGCATGTCACACATAGATAAAGTTGGTCCCGATATATGTATATAAAATGAATAGTGAAATATGCATAAATAATACAAGAGAAGGACTGAATGTGACTATGTCCATTTTTCATAAACTTTTTGACTTTTAAATTAACATTTAAGCAGTTGAAGGTGAAACCAATACTCAATTATCCTCTCTTCGGAAAATTCACTTCTAGTTTTTGACAAGTAGCACATCTAAAATGGAAGTAGGAAAAAGTTGTCAAAACTCTTATTGGAAAGTTCGAGTGAAAGAACAACGAGCTATGATATAAGCTTACTTTCTAAATGAAGTGATTGACTGACACTGCAATATATATAAAACTATCCTTTCTAAACGGGAGATTAAAGCTTTCGTACCTCAGTGGCAGCACAATATATATAATAAGATAAATTACAAGAAGTTTGAGCATATTTTATTTGGGTGAAGCCTTTGAAGTTTATGAACAATACTTATGTCTAACTTAGTATCCAATATGAGTAAGTAGCCCAATCAGTGCACCATAAGTGTTTATCAATGGGATTGAATTTAAGTTAGGTATTACGGTATTACCCATCTATTCGAGTTGACCCGTTCAAAAATTTTATTTATTTATTTATTTTTTCTCTTGCTTGCTTTCATCCGCAACCTCCACCCCATCTCTCTCTCCATCGCAACCTCCACCCCTTCTCTCTCTCCACCATCAATTCAGATAAAGTAACAAAGCATCCCAATAAAAGAATCCTCCGGCACCACCAATATAAGCACCTTGAAACAATCATATCATATCCCACATTATATGTGCTTTTACTTGGTGTATATTATAATATATATCATATCCCACGCCATTTTACCTTCAATAACATCAAGAGGATCATGTTTTTTGGTGACTGATGAAGGTGCATCAACGCACAGACACAACTTTTTAACAGGGGATATTCGGGTGGTACACACAGTCACACACACAAAAACATGTTCACCTTCGGCAGACTATGATATCACCACTGCCCAAACATCATCGCCACTGTAACAGGAAAACTCACCGGCGTCTTCCAAGTTCATCATCACCATCCACGCGCATGAGACTCTCCTGTGAGTAGATCTAACTCGCGTCGAACACGCCCACATGCTCCTTCTTCAGCCTTTTTCTGGTGCCGTTAACCTCTCGCAGATCATCACCAACTCTCTGCTGCCACCGCTACCCTCTGCCACTGCTCTCTACCGTCCGCCGTAGATCTCTGGAGTTACCGCCGAAGTCTTAGACACATCAAGGTGGCCACGGTGGGAGGAGGTGGTATTGGAGAGAGAGAAGGGGTGGAGGTTGCGGTGGACAAGAGAACTGATTGGCGTGGAGGTTGCGGTGGAGAGAGAGAAGGGGTGGAAGTTGTTGACGAAAGCGCCAAAAAAAACGTAAAGAGTTTTGAACGGGTCAACCCGAATAGTTGGGTAATACCCAACTTAAATTCAATATTATTGATGGACACTTGTCATGCACTAATTGGGTCACGTACCCAAGATTATTACATTGACATCCCTTAAAATTATAAAAAATCAATTATACACTTATATGTAATATATTTTTATAATACAAAATATATAAAGCCTAAAAATTCAATTATTCTATCTCATCTCTCCTCTCTAACACCGTTCCCTCTACTATAAAACATCTTGTAAAAAAAAAAAAAAAAAATGAGTGTAAGGACAACTTAGTTATTTTATACCTTTTTTTTATTTATTTTTTATTTTTTATTTTTAAGTTCTTATACACTTAAACTTTAAAGAAGTCAAAATAATAAATCTTAGATACTCTATTTGTGTGAAATTTGTTCAAACCTTAGGCGAGATCAGTGTAATTTACCCTATATAATAAGTGTGTGCATTTACTTGAACTTTCGAATAGACAAAAAAAAAAAAAAAAAAAAAGAAAAAAAGAAAAGCCTGAAATAGAATCAAATTAGGGCTCTTGCTTGAGAGAGGGGGGAGGGGAGGGCTGTTGCAATAAGGCAAGTTGAAAGTAAAAAAAAAAAAATTCACTTACTGAAAGTTAATTACTTGCAACATATCATTGAAGTATCTGCACAAAAAAAAATAAAAAAATAAAAAAATAAAATGCAGGTAACAGTAAAAAAGGCACTACTTTTGCACACGTTATAAAGCAAGCCTATATATTAGTAAAACATTTGCTAACAATACATAAAGAAGCCAACAGTGGTAAACGCCAGAGCTTGCTTGTCTGATTTACATATGCAGCTAAAGATAAAACTTATTACACACACATTACAAAGCAAGCCTATATTAGTAAAACACAAACACATATGCTAACAATACATAAAGAAGCCAACAGTAGTGAACACTTGACGTACAGAAAGTTGAAATGCTGCATATCGTTAGCAATTACCCATTGCTGACTACAGGAACCTTCTCATAAAATTCTGATTCCCTGAATCTCCGAGGAAGGATACAACGACCCCCAAATCGCTGCTGCAAGAAGATGACCACTGCAAAGAACATACCCCCACAAGGGATGATCACATCCCAAGCAGTGGAATAGAAATCTGCAGTAGGATTCGCGTAAATGTATGACCCGTCAAAATGCTGGGGAACGAAGTGAGCCCTGTAAAGATCATATGCATGTGGCAGCAATCGAACAAAGGTAGTGCCAATGTAAAATGAACGGGAGAGAGCATTTTCTCTTGACATTTGGAAAATGTTGAGAAGGATTTGAGGGAACAGAAAACCATCAATGACCAAACCACCATAAGATCTCAAATCTCCCCAGAGGTTATGTTGTTGGTAAACCTCAATGCTAGAAGACACCGTTGTGTTGCCATTTTTGTTCTTCATCCAATTCACGAA